CAAGAACATTTCCTGAGTCTGAAGCAATGATGGCAAGATGCTCCCATTCCTGACACGTAATCACTTAACGTTCTGTGTGGATCTGTCAAATGTCATTATTTGACGTTGTACAAGGATTTGACGAAAAGTCCTGCAAATCCTCTTGCCTTAAAAATCAACGGCATCCCAGGACATTCCACTACATGGCATTCCAAGACAGTTCTTTTCATCTCCTTTCAGTGCACTTGCATTAAAGCCCTCGACCATTGTTTTGTTCACATGTTTTTATGAGTTGCTGTGGACAATGCTTTGATCGCAAACACCTTAAAACTTGCAGTCTAAAGTGCCCAGGGACACTGCTACGCTTCATGAACTTTGGCGCAAAGAGATTGATGCAGCACTTTGTCAGTGTAACTGTATCACTCGGACATGCCAGGTCGTGCCAGAGAGTTAAAGACGTGTGCCTAAACGCATAGCCAAAAGTTGGGTTTGTCAGAAGTGGGACTCACACCCTTGCCTCCAGGGGAGACTGCGACCGGAACACAGCACCTTAGACCGCTCTGCTATACTGACATGCTTGTATGGCCTGAGCTGTCTCCTAGGACCCACATCGCAGCACAGTGACATAGAAGCTGGTGTGTCACAGCCTGCCCAGCTCCTGCAATCTGCCTCGTTGGCGCAGTAGGCAGCACGTCAGTCTTATAATCTGAAGGTCACATGCTTTTCCGAGTTGCTTTGGACAATGCCTTAATCGCAAATGCCTTAAAACTCGCAGTCTAAAGTGCCCATTAGGGTTGCCAGGGACACTGCTACTCTGCATGAACTTTGGCACAAAGAGGTTGATGCAGCGCTTTGTCAGTGTCACTGTATCATTCGGACATGGCGCCTAGGGCTGTAATAATACACGATATGAAATCGAAATCGCGAATCTACGATCCTGTGTCGCGTTGTGATAAAGGAGATTCGCGACACACCCCGTGACTACCTTTCCAATAACGTCACGCTTGCCTGCAAAAGTTGAGCTAGTTGAAGAAGAACGTGAGGAAACAATTTTTTTTCACTCGACATTACGAGTACTGCTCCATTTATGCCCTTGCAATATGCGTTTAGCCGGGAGAGCTCGCACAGAGCTCTTAGTAAGGGACCGTCTGAATGTGTCAGGAATATCAAAAACAAAATTAACGTAACCCCGCTTGACAATAGACAATGGCAGAAACATTGCCAATGCTGTCAAAGCGGCCGGATTTTCACAGCATATACGATGCTTTGCTCACACTGTTAATGTGGCTGCACAGAGAGGGATGGGCGTTCACCAGATGTCCCGACTCCACAGAGTAAGGAAAGTTGTCACGTTTTTCACTGCAATGTTGACATGATGGTGTTTCTGAAGAATTTTCAACTTTTTGGTTTTCTTGAGAGAAATAAGTTGTTTATTTGTTTAATGTTTACTTGACTTGTGGTTTGAAGCACAGGCATTAAGCCTCAGTGTGAAACAGTAGCCTAAAGGTAAGTGAATTATAACAGCGCAAACTTTTCTGTAACCGTGCTTTGCACTTTCTGTTTGACCCTTTGGGAGTGCTGACTGACAGGTGAGTGATGCGTGAGGTCAGGAAACACGACGAAGCTTTCAGTTAAGATGAACACAGTTTCTATAGTTATACTTTATTTAGAGATAAAGGTATATGGCTCTGCATATAATCACTCTATCTTGCTGGAGTTTATAGCCGTTTCGCTTTACTTCAGGACACATTAATGCCGCTCTGAAGGTCTAATCGCTGTTTTAAGTTATCCAGAGCTGTATGAATATACAAATCTTGAATATCACGATATTATTAAATATTACAATTGTAACAACACAGACAGCAACACCTTAGCACAATCGATAATCAGCTGATTCAGTCGTTTCATAAGAGGACCGTGCTTCTTCTTTTTTCCTTGTCAACATAAAGGCAGAGAGGTGCGCCTTGTTTTCGGCCCCTTGTTCAACTGCAAGGCATACTTAATTTGCGGGACGATAACGTATAACCCGTGCCTAAAGACACATTGCCAAAGAAGCAAAATAGAAGTAGAATATTGCTGTTTGATACAGACGTGTTGATGCTAAACCAGCACTGATGTTGACCTGGATCTGTAATAAACGCAACAAATAGGCTTTACTTTTTATTTTACAACTTATAAAGCATGTATGCACATTGATGCAATATCATATTTAAACAACAAAACTGTTTACAAAAGGTCAACATATGCGCGCGTTGTTGTTGTCTTTTCATCACGCAGCGCACACTTGAACCGCGAGGGAGAGAGAGGAAACCATATAGCAAGACATATTCTTTAAAATAATGATTTCTATTAAAAATGTAAAAGGTTTTGTGATTACAATAATAACAGCGGGGCATTAAATAAATGCATATTTTCCGTGAAGCGGGCAATTTGAGGAAGTCAGCTATTTTTATTTGACGGAAGAAAAAAACATATGATTGGAAAAAAACAGCCTATGCCGGTTATTAAAAAGAATCAGTCAGTATTTTCGTTTTGTAATATAAATTAATTATTTAATTGAAAATAATTCAGGGCATTCCTATTTATTTTATTCATTTTATTTAGATTATTCTGCTCTTCTGTGCTAAACACTGCAGGTGCGTGAAGATGCTCTGTTGTTCTGTTCTGTTATTAATATGCTAGCATTTAAAAATAAATCAGTATTTTAAAATGCAATATTTAATGTGTCAGACACAAAAAAGACAAGTCAATTTGTTTAATATAAAATTAATAGTAATCTGACCAGTTAACCCTTAATAAGCGATTAATGAGCGGCGGTTGTCAGTTAGCAAAATTAACGAAATGAGCATCCCTAGTGGCCATTTATTTAGTTTTTCTATGTAAGAGAACTTGATTGAAAAAGAATTTTCAACATGCTTGAACCATCTACACAATGGAGTTTAGTTCTGTTTGGTTTTTCAACAGTATTTTGTTACAAAGAAAACAAAAGTGATATAGCTTTGGCTATTTTTTTATTTTATATATTACTATTTATATTGTTAATAATTTGTATAGTTAATATTGTTTTTTGATGTTCAGTTTATAAAGATTTTTCAAATGTTATTTAATAAAAAATTGTTTTGAAAATCTTTTTTCCCACCCCCCACGGAAAAAAAAAATTGTGATACGAACCGAATCGTGGGTCAAAAATCGTGATACGAACCGAATCGTGGGTTTGGTGTATCGTTACAGCCCTATTGATTAGAGTAATTAAATGGTTTAAAGATATTTGAAAGGTTGAAACAAAATCTGTTATCTTGTTATTTTTAAATCAACAGGAGCGGTTTAAATCAAGATTGGCAAATTTGCATCAACATCACCAAGACTGCTTTAACCGCTTTAACGAAGCAGAAAGTGAATTAAGACAAAAGACTTGCCTACAAAAATCAAAGCATTGTGAGTATTTAACCTAATTAATATATCATTATTTAAACCTACCACAAACTGCCATTTGGAGGTTTAATGGTGCATTTTCTTTTGAATTATTTATATTCATTCTAATCTTCATACTCTCCTGAACAGCGTTCATCACCTGCAACAGCAACACTCACATCATCTCCATCCTGTCCTGAGCAACCTACATCATGTGCAACTGCAACACTCATGACATCTTCATACTCTCCTGAGCAGCGTTTATCACCTGCAACAGCAACACTCAAAACATTCTGTTCAGCAAAGAGTCTACAATGAATTCTGTTTTGATTCTCCTTTTACTCTTACTTCATAAAAACATTTTACTACATGAAAAAAAAAAAAAAAAGTTAACGGTACAATTTTTCCATTGTGTTTTATTTGTTCTGGTCAGTGTATACATAATGCAACTTTGAAAATAGGTAATTACTGATTTATATTTAACCCATTTAATTAACTTTTTATAGTTTTTTTTTGTGATTGGCTAAAACATTCATTTAGATTTAGAAGTTTTGAGTGATTAAGGCAGACATTTTAAATATGCAAGCTTTTATTGAGCAATGTTGTTCTATAGATTTTAGATATTTCTTTAGGTAGCTTTGCCCAGATTAGTTTTGAATTAGGAAACTCAAGGTATCAGCACCAAATTATCTACTAATGAACGGGTCTGGATTGGATCCAGATAAGCTACTTCATCAATGGGTTCGGGTCTAGATTGGATCCGGGCCGGATGAGCTAGTCTATCAGCGGGTCTGGATCGGATCTGCGCCGGATGAGCTACTCTATCAGCGGGTCTGGATTGGATCCGAGCTGGATGAGCTACTCTATTAACGGGTCCGGATCGGATCCGGATGAAGAGCTTTATTACCGGATACGGGTAACGTCTGAAATGGGTCCGGAACGGATACAGAATTCTTATCCGTTCCGGATCCGTTGCGCTGTGCAAGTAGACTCCAGTACAGACCCATTTGCGGACCCGTTTCTGTTGCGGATCATGTAATACCTCCGGCGCGGATCTGTTCCGGAGTCATTTTGATATCCGGAAAACCTTTAGGCAGCAGTAAGCCTCACAAATACTTAAAATTGATTTACTTAAACTGCTTAAACTTTATTAAAACTGTTAGCACTAATATATTGTGTTAACTACACTTTGTTCATTTTGTGCTTTTGTTCCTTTGTTTATTGGTCTTAAAGATAAGCCTGCTGTGAAAAAATAGTTTCTCTGAGATTATGTGTTATGTAATCTTGTTAAAATTTATTTCTTAAAATAAAAGTATAGAAAAAAAGTATCGTTCGAAACCGGTATCGAATTCAGGGTATCGGTATCGAACACTTTAGAACAATACACAGCCCTAGTCAAGTGATGTGATTTTGCAGGTCAGAGTTCACCAAGCTTGAACTTTGCAACGCAGTGAACTGCGAAACTTGATGCACAAACTTGGTTTCCGGTCTGACGCATTCACGTGCGTATGAATGGAAGTCTATGGGGAGAAAAGTCCAGTGTGACCGCAGCTTAAGTGCAAGTGAATAGTTTCTCTCCAGTGTGGCTCACCATGTGTAAATTAAAGGACGATGATCGGCTGAAACTCTTCCCACACTGAGGGCATGTGAATGGTTTCTCTCCAGTGTGGATACTCATGTGTCTATTAAAGTTTGATGATTGGCTGAAACTCTTCCCACAGTGAGTGCATGTGAATGGTTTCTCTCCAGTGTGGATCTTCATGTGTTGATTAAAATTTGATGATTGGCTGAAACTCTTCCCACACTGAGAGCATGTGAATGGTTTCTCTCCAGTGTGGATCCTCATGTGTTTATTAAAGTTTGATGATTGGCTGAAACTCTTCCCACAGTGAGTGCATGTGAATGGTTTCTCTCCAGTGTGGATCCTCATGTGTTTATTAAAGTTTGATGATTGGCTGAAACTCTTCCCACAGTAAGTGCATGTGAATGGTTTCTCTCCAGTGTGGATCCTCATGTGA